TGGGAGCTTAATCTACGTGTATATACGGATCCCTATTCCCAAAATGGACACTCTTGCCACGCGAGTCCCACGTACTGGCCCGTGACGATTTCTTTGCGGTTAAGTTGCTAATCGGGAACCTGAGAAGCTAGAAAGCTGAAATTTTAAGGGGTTGTTTACTGGCAGCCGTGGAGAATTTTAAGGGGATGCTTTCTGACAGTCTCAATTCTTTTAGCTAGAAGCATCTGCCGGAAAAACAATGTCGTTGGCGACAAAAACCTGCGGGGAACTTTGCAAAAAACGCATTTTCGGACCGGCATTCAGTGTGCTACCCAATTATTACATTTAATGAAGTGTCTGCGTACAACTATAATTTTATGTGTGCCAACTTACGCCGGGAAGTTGAAAATGTACTCGTGAATTTTTGTCAGTTTCTGTGGCTGATGCAGTGAAGGAGTGAGTACACACGGCTGCGGAGGAGGGTCCGCTCGCAAAGCATTTCGAGAGTGCTGCTGCTATTTGCAACACATAGAATTTTGTTCATTTTTCAAATGCTTGTTTTTTTTTTCACATGCTTTGTTCTTTGCTCGCGGTGTTACACCTTTAACAGTTGTTGCAAAAACAGTCTTCAATAAGTAACCCGGTGCTGCAACTAGGAGTACCGCACCCCAGCAGCAGCAACAACGCAACTAGTAGAAGTTGAGATTGATGTCTCCATCGGAGGACGCACGGATACCCTCTTCTCCAACCTCTCATAGCAAAGAAGTGACGCCAGAAGCAAAAAAATGACTCTCTTGCAGAGACTTTTCCTACGTACACACAACAAATGCAAAGTGAGTAAAAATCTTTATGAGTTGGAACAATTATTTGTATGGTGGATCGTAGTGTGGCGTGGTGCGTTGACTATGTGGGCAATCTGGATAACCAGACATGTCTACGGTTTACTTGGGATGAAGCAAGGAAGCAGCTGACAAACAGTACAGAATTTGGCGCTTGGGTTTTGACGTTTCTGGTGGCTTGCTGAGCAAGAAGCGTCGTGTACAAGAGAAAAACAGAATTTGGGCGGTCAGCACCGAGTTGTCGATAACTGATGGCTCTCGAACAAAAGGGACGAGGTCGTCTCGGTGTTCCTAGAGAGTGGTGAAGTCGAATACGCTGAGGCGCTGATGGTCCCCGAGGCTGTCGCTTGCTGGTAGAAAACCAAAGCCCCGATGAAGGGGATGTAATGTGCGCCTCGTAAGATGATGTAGTGGTTTTAGAGGGGTTTTGAAATGTAGAGGAAAAGTTGATAGAAGAGGGTAATGAGGGAAATGGAGTAAAGCGAATTTTTTGGGAAAGGAGATAAGTAAAAGTGTGAAATGTTTTTCTGAGGGTAAAAAAAGAGAGCAGAGAAATAG